CGACACCAAATTGGGAGGGATAGCCAATACTCCAGAGGGCAGGAGCAGGATTCAAAACGATCTTGACAGATTGGAGAGATGGGCCAAAGCTAACAAAATGAAGTTTAACAGTGACAAATGCAAGATACTCCACTTAGGCAGAAAAAACAAAATGCAAAGAGACAAAATGGGGGACGCCTGGCTCGAGAGCAGTACGTGTGAAAAAGATCTTGGAGTTCCCGTGGACAACAAGTTAAACATGAGCCAACAATGTGATGTGGCGGCAAAAAAAGCCAATGGGATTTTGGCCTGCATCAATAGGAGCCTAGTGCCTAGATCTAGGGAAGTCATGCTCCCCATGCTCTATTCTGCTTTGGTTAGACCACATCTGGAATATTGTGTCCAATTCTGGGCACCACAATTCAAGAGAGATATTGACAAGTTGGAATGTGTCCAGAGGAGGACGACTAAAACGATAAAGGGTCTGGAGAACAAGCCTTATGAGGAGCGGCTTAAGGAGCTGGGCATGTTTAGCCTGAAGTAGAGAAGGCTGAGAGGAGATATGATAGCCATGTATAAATATGTGAGAGGAAGCCACAGGGAGGAGGGAGCAAGCTTGTTTTCTGCTTCCCTGGAGACTAGGATGCAGAACAATGGCTTCAAACTACAAGAAAGGAGATTCCATCTGAACATGAGGAAGAACTTCCTGACTGTGAGAGACGTTCAGCAGTGGAACTCTCTGCCCCGGAGTGTGGTGGAGTCTCCTTCTTCGGAAGCTTTTAAACAGAGGTTGGATGGCCATCTGTCAGGGGTGATTTGAATGCAATATTCCTGCTTCTTGGCAGAATGGGGTTGGACTGGATGGCCCATGAGGTCTCTTCCAACTCTTTGATTCTATGATTCTATGACTCGGAGCGGCTTACATGAGGCCAAGCCCAAACAACAAATTACAATAGAATAAAACCAAAAACACAAACCGAAAATGCGAACAATAAACAACAACAACATAATTACATAAAATATGTGAATACATAACAAAATAAAATTACAATAGGCACAATCACAACGACAATGGGTGGGATACATGTAATGATTAAAAGAGAACTAATTAAAACTAAGTAAAAACTCAGGCGAGATAAAAGAGAGATAGATTATTTGCGGAGGACTCATTATAGCGGGGGTTGTGGACTCAAGCTTTCCCACGAAGGGGGTGGGGGGGCATATACTCCAGTGACAATTGGCAATCATTAGATGCCGACAAAGAACTATTACACCACAGCAATTAACATAAACACATCAACAATAGTAAAAAATACCTTAAATTCATTAAAATACATTAAAAATAATATTAACACAACTAAGTCTGAGCCAGAGTTCCAATCCAAGGTCTTTTCATTGATAATTCTCATGAACTGTTGCTCAGCCAGCTGCCCAAATGCTTGGTCCCAGAGACTTGAGGTTTTTTCCTGAAGGATAGGAGAGATGGCATCGCTTTGATTTCACTGGGGAGTGTATTCCACAGATAGGGGGTCACCACCGAGAAGGCCCTGTCTCTCGTCTCCACCACTTGCGCTTGCAAGGGTGGCGGGATCGAAAGCAGGGCCTCCCCCAACGATCGTAAACTCTGAGGTGGGTCATAGAGGGAGATACGTCTGGACAAGTAAACTGGACCAGAACCATTTGGGCCTTTATAGGTCAAGACTAGCACTTTGAATTGTGCTCAGAAGTGGACCGGCAGCCAGTGGAGCTGACGAAGCAGAGGGGTGGTGTGCTCCCTGTAAGTCACTCCAGTGAGTATTATTCATTTATTTATTTATTTACACCATTCCTACCCCGCCCTTCAGGACGGCTAACACAGGCAACAATTCAATGCCAACAGTATCAATAACAACAATATAAACCAATAATATAAAATCCTATTACATAACAATTAAACAGTGATATTAATTAAAATGATATAATTACTAGTCATATAGCTGTTTCCAATTTTCATAACAATCCTATTGTCCGAGTTCAGTGCCTAAAGTGCTGCTGTGCCCAGTAGCCAAAGGCCTGGCTCCAAAACCACGTCTTTAGTTTTTTCCTAAAAGTAAGGAGGGAGGACGCCGATCTACTCTTGCTGGGGAGCGAATTCCACAAGCGGGGGGTCACCACTGAGAAGGCCCTGTCCCTTGTCCCCACCAGACGCGTTTGAGACGCTGGTGGGACCGAGAGCAGGGCCTCCCCAATAGATCTTAAACTATGAGGTGGAGTAGAGAGAGATACGTTCGGCTAAGTAAGCTGGGCCAGAGCCGTATAATCTGGCTGCCAACCATTGGACTAGTTGGAGTTTCTGAACAGTCTTCAAACGCAACCCCACATAGAGTGCATTGCAGTAGTCTATACTGGCTATAACCAGACGGTGAACTCCTGTGGCAAAGTCAGACTTCCCAAGGTACGTGTGCAGCTGGCGCATGAGTTTTAATTGTGCAAAGGCTCCTCTGGCCACCGCCGAGACCTGAGGTTCCAGGCTCAGCAATAAATCCAGGATCACCCCCAAGCTGCGAACCTGAGTCTTCAGGGGGAGTGTAACCCCATCCAACACAGGCTGTAACCCTATGCCCTGTTTAGCCGTTTGACTGACCAGTAGGACCTCTATCTTGTCTGGATTCATTGTTGTTGATTCAACATTGTTCAAATTCTCAACTGGGAGCGAAGTGGATGTGGCCAATGGCTTCAGAAGAAGTCTTCAGGAAGCCAACAGCATTGTAAATACGGCTCTAGCAAGCACACATTAGATTTCAAGCACTTGAAGGTTGGGTAGAATTGAGCAAGTTGGGTATATAGTTTTTCAAAGGGTCTGGAGAACAAGCCCTATGAGGAGCGGCTTAAGGAGTTGGGCATGTTTAGCCTGAAGAAGAGAAGGCTGAGAGGAGATATGATAGCCATGTATAAATATGTGAGAGGAAGCCACAGGGAGGAGGGAGCAAGCTTGTTTTCTGCTTCCCTGGAGACTAGGACGCGGAACAATGGCTTCAAACTACAAGAAAGGAGATTCCATCTGAACATTAGGAAGAACTTCCTGACTGTGAGAGCCGTTCAGCAGTGGAACTCTCTGCCCTGGAGTGTGGTGGAGGCTCCTTCTTTGGAAGCTTTTAAACAGAGGCTGGATGGCCATCTGTCAGGGGTGCTTTGAATGCAATATTCCCGCTTCTTGGCAGGGGGTTGGACTGGATGGCCATGAGGTCTCTTCCAACTCTTTGATTCTATGACCTCACAGAGTTTCAACCAATTTGACATAGTTTGTGGCCACAGAAACAACATTTCTGGAGTATAACAACTACTTTCCAAGTAACTACCGCACAATTAAATGGAGCAGGCCTGAGGGGGAAATCAGTGGAGCTTCCTTAAACAGGAGCAGTCCAGTTGTGGTCATTAGCTATTTGGGAGAAACAATGGGAGATTGTTTGCGAATTTTCCCAGGGACATCTGAAAGGTCACTGCTGAAGGCAAGGCGCAATACGAGATGGCATGCACAAGGTCAGCAAAAAGGCAAGCAATTCCAAAAAGTACTTGGAGACTGAGCAGAGCGCCCTTGGTTTAGAATGAGGCAAGTTACAAATTAGTTATATTGATTGTGATGTGCAGCAAGTCATAATCACACAGAAGAACTGATTAGAAATACGAATGGCTGGGAAAGTAGCCTCAAGCCTTGGGATAGGATTGAAAGGAAAGTAGAGCAGCAGGCCTGCCTACCTTTTTCTTCCCTAACCCTCAACCACAACAACCTGTCAGACATTTCACTGTGTACGACTAATACCGCTATCCACATTTGGGTTTGATAAGACTCACCTGTCTCTGACAACGGCATTGATCAATGGGTTGACCTGCTTAATCCTCGCAATGTACGTTGCAATGACTTCCACACATGACACCTGCAAGAGATCAGATAGCGGTGTTTACATGAAATGATTAATTTGCATATCATAATCACTCTCTGAGAAGCACCTTCGCTGATTTGCTTGATTTACACTATACCTGTCTTCCAAGGTTTGGATGCAGGTTGGCTTTAGTTACAAACATTCAGATAAGAACACAACTATACACACACAATCATCCACTGAAGAGGAGCCTCCGGTGGCGTAGTGCGTTCAACCCTTGCGCCCGCAGGACTGAAGACTGACAGGCCGGAGGTTCAAATCCAGAGAGAGTGTGGATGAGCTCCCTCTGTCAGCTCCGGCTCCCCATGCATGGACATGAGAGAAGCCTCCAACAAGGATGGTATTGGGTTGTTCTTGGAGGTTTTTTCGGGCTATAGGGCCATGTTCTAGAGGCATTTCTCCTGACGTTTCGCCTGCATCTATGGCAAGCATCCTCAGAGGTAGTGAGGTCTGTTGGAATTAGGACAATGGGTTTATATATCTGTGGAATGGCTGGGGTGGGGCAAAGAGCTCTTCTCTGCTAGGTGTGAATGTTTCAACTGACCACCTTCATTAGCATTTGAAGGCCTGGCTGAGCCTGGGAAAATCTTCTGTTGAGAGGTGTTAAGATGTGCCTGGTTGTTTCCTCTCTGCTGTTTTGCTGTTGTAATTTTAGAGTTTTTTAATACTGGTAGCCAGATTTTGTTCATTTTCATGGTCTCTTCCTTTCTGTTGAAATTGTCCACATGCTTGTGGATTTCAGTGGCTTCTCTGTGTAGTCTGACATGGTGGTTGTTAGAGTGGTCCAGCATTTCTGTGTTCTCAAATAATATGCTGTGTTCAGGCTGGTTCATCAGGTGCTCTGCTATAGCTGACTTCTTTGGTTGAACCACCATGTCAGACTACACAGAGAAGCCATTGAAATCCACAAGCATGTGGACAATTTCAACAGAAAGGAAGAGACCATGAAAAAGAACAAAATCTGGCTACCAGTATTAAAAAACTCTAAAATTACAACAGCAAAAACAGAGAGGAAACAACCAGGCACATCTCAATACCTCTCAACAAAAGATTTTTCCAGGCTCAGCCAGGCCTTCAAATGCTAATGAAGGTGGTCAGTTGAAACATTCACACCTAGCTCCAGCAGAGAGGAGCTCTTTGCCCCACCCCAGTCATTCCAAGCAGACAAGACTCCTTTGTCCCACCCTGCTCATTCCACAGATATATAAACCCATTTTCCTACTTCCAACAGACCTCACTACCTCTGAGGATGCTTGCCATAGATGCAGGCGAAACGTCAGGAGAAAATGCCTCTAGAACATGGCCATATAGCCCGGAAAAACCTACAACAACCAAGTGATTCCGGCCATGAAAGCCTTCGAAAATACAAGGATGGTATTCATTTATATATTACCACCTGCTGCAATGCAATCTGAGCCCTGCCACATGCACAATGGAGGCCCTCCTTGCGGCAACACCAGAGGCACTCCAAGTGGCCAGATACTGGTCAAAGGACATTTAATCAACTACCAAGCTTGCAAACTCTGTATTTTGTCTGTTTGTTTGTTTGTTAAAAAATGCAACGCAACTGTTCGGTCTGCTCCTGACACGATAAATAAAATAAATTTATTTATTTATGAAATTTATATGCCGCCCTTTTCACCCTGAAGGGGATTCAGATTAGCATATATATTACATACAATATATTATATTATTAGCATAGTACAATATTAGCATTAAACATTGCTATATTGCACCATACCACTATATTGTAATACTATTAGTAATATTACATGTAATATAAATATATAATTATAATATCATATTGTTATTCTTATTATATTGCATTACATCATATATGGTAAAACATCAAAACATCTCAGCATCTCCTGCAGTTTCTCAAGTCGCTCCTGACACGAAAAAAAAATCCAATAAAGAGTGTGAGAAAGATTGTATGAGTCTCACTGCTATAAAATCCAGTTCAGTTCTGAAACTGCATTATATGACAGTGTAGCTCCAGTCAAAGGAAACAATGTTTGCATGCCAGTTGATCTTCCACAGCCCTTCATTGATTTATCTTCCATGCTCTTTTCTCTTCCCGTGCCTTGTTTTTTTACTTACTAGCCATTCCCTGCCACACATTGCTGTGGCCCAGTCTGTATATATGTGTTTTTGTGTGTACGTATTTGTATATGTGTATATTTGTGGTTTTGCGCATGCATTGTAATTTTTTTTTTTGCTTTTTAAGTCTCTTCTGCTGTGTTTTTCAGTGTTTTTATGAGTAGTGGTCACTTGTTGCCTGATAGGTGCATTGTGACCATCTACGAACCCACGCGCTCGCTCCGGTCATCTGGGGAGGCCCTGCTCGTGATTCCACCTACATCGCAAGCGCGTTTGGTGGGGACACGGGACAGGGCCTTCTCTGTGGCGGCCCCCCGACTTTGGAACGCCCTCCCAAAAGATCTCCGACAGGCCCCTTCTCTTGCTGCTTTCAGAAGGAATTTAAAAACTTGGTTGTTCCGCTGTGCCTTTTCAGATTAGGAATCCCCACCCAAGTTTTGATAGCACCTTAGCATAACAAATCGTTACTGCACACCGCACTTGAAATCCTACGTGCCTCCTGCCATTTCAGCACTTTTAATCCCTTGTACCCAGTGCGCCGGCCGAACCAGTTTTAATAATGTCTTGATGTACTGCTATTGTTGTTATTTTGCTATTGTTTGATTTGTTCTGCTTTTGTGATGTCTGTTTCTATTATATTGTGTTTTGTGGCTTCGGCCTGTGTAAGCCGCATCGAGTCCTTCGGGAGGTGCTAGCGGGGTACAAATAAAGTTAATAATAATAATAATAATAATAATAATAATAATACTTTGTCCAAATTTGGTGTCAATTCGCCCAGTAGTTTTTGAGTTATGTTAATCCCACAAATTAACATTACATTTTTATTTATATAGATTACTAGCCATCCCCTGCCATGGGTTGCTGTGGCTCAGTCTGTGTTTTGTGTGTGTGTGTGTTTATGTGTGTGTTCCATCGTTGGTGGAGTTCAGAATGCTCTTTGATTGTAGGTGAACTATAAATCCCAGCAACTACAACTCCTCAAGATTCTATTTTCACCAAACTCCACCAGTGTTCACATTTGGACATATTGAGTAGTCGTGTAGAGTTTGGTCCAGATCCATCATTGTTTGAGTTCACAGTGATCTCTGGATGTAGGTGAACTACAACTCCAAAACCAAAGGACACTGCCCACCAAACCCTTCCAGTATTTTCTGTTGGTCATGGGAGTTCTGTGTGCCAAGTTTGGTTCAATTCCATCATTGGTGGGGTTCAGAATGCTCTTTGATTGTAGGTGAACTATAAATCCCAGCAACTACAACTCCCAATTTGCAAAATCAATTTTTTTGAGTGAAGAACATACATTGGGTTGTTAGGTGTATTGTGTCCAAATTTGGTGCCAATTCGTCCAGTGGTTTTTGAGTTATGTTAACCCCACAAACGAACATTACATTTTTATTTACATAGACTAGCTGTACCCGCCACGCTTTGCTGTGGCCAACCTTCCCTCTTTCTCTCCTTCTTTCCCTCCTTCCTCCACTCCCTCTTTCCTTCCTTCCTTCCTGTCTTTCCTTCTCTTCTTCCTTCCTTCTCTATCTCTTTTCTTCTTTCCCATTTTCATTCTCTTCTGCTGTCTCTTTTCTTCCTTCTCTCTTTCCTTCTTTCCTTCCCTCCCTCTTTCTCTACATCTTCTCCCCTTCCTTCGCTCCCACTTTCCTTCTTTCCCTTTTTTCTTTCCTTCTCTCCTGCCTTCCTTCCTTTTCTAACTTTCCTTCCTTCCCCCTTTTTCTTTCAGTCCCTCTTTCTCTCCTTCCTTCTCTACCTCTTTCCTCACTTTCTTCTCTTTGCTTCCATGCTTCCTTCTCCCTTTCCTTCCTTCTTTCCCTCCCTCTTTCTTTCTTGCTTGCTTTCTTCCTCTTCCCTCCCTTTCTTCCCTTTTTTCAGTATTGTCATTTAGCTTTTCATCATTTAGCTTTTGGGGGGCTTTTAAAGTCCCTTCTGCTGTGTTTTTCAGTGTTTTTATGAGTGAAGGACATACACTGGCCTGATAGGTGCATTGTGTCCAAATTGGGTGTCAATTCCCCCAGTGGTTTTTAAGTTCTGTTAATCCCACATACGAACATTACATTTTTATTTATATAGATGTGCATCAATACACTAAGAAAATTGACCTTTTATACTATGACACCATAACAGTATGACTCTAAGAATATCTATCCATCTATCCATCTATCCATCTATCCATCTATCCATCTATCCATCCATCCATCCATCCATCCATCCATCCATCCATCCATCCATCTATTCTCTACTAGGCCTGGGTAACAACGCAAAAATTTGTTTCTAAAATCGATTTGTATTTGGGGGTTTTTTTTGTTTCGATATTTAAAATAATTACAAAATTTTCCTTTTAAAAAGTTCGATATTTACGAAATTTCGTAAATGGTAAAAAATTAACGAATCAATTTCCGAAACAATAACAAATCGATTCGTTAATGGCGGATGCGACCGCGAAATACGCTAAAAAACCTCCAAAAACTTCTGAAGCTTCCCTCTCCCTCTGTTCTTGACTGTTGGTGTGATATTATATATTTTTTTCACTAATTAAACCATAAAACTGGCCCAGACATGCGGAAATAATAACGAAACGACCTCAGAACAATAACGAAACGAATACAATAATGAAATACGAAGCATTTACAAAACGTGTTTAAAAATTCGTTTTTTTAAATGATTGCTCCAGAATGGTTCGTTATCGTTTTGTAATTGGAAAAATTAACAATTATTAACGAATTATGAATTAACGAAACGAAACCGCCCAGGCCTATTCTCTACACATAATAAAAGTGAAAATGTGTATGTGGCGGAGATGTCCACTTACACAGACAGCCTCCTGCCTCCGCAAACAGCTTTAACCCACAATGCTAAAGAACCACCAAAAGCCCTCCCTCAAAAGG